ATGTATATTCTTTACCTATGCACTACATTTTAAAAAAGTGGACAATAGATGCCAAAAAAGGAGAAATTACAAGCACATCAAATGAAGAAGATATGAGTAGTTACAATATGTGTTCAACATCATTGTTTAATAATATCATGGTTCACTCATTACAACTTTCTGAAAAAGCTTCACGTTCAAAAAAGCATTATGACACCACAATAGAATGCTTGCAATGTTTATTCAAAAAGTTAGATGCATTGAAGATTGATGATGACATGACTAGTACCACTGGTTGTTTGACAAGCATGATAAGTCATCAAGATGATGATGATAATAATGTAGCAATGCGTGATCCTCCTCGTGTGACTACTAAAGGTCGTCCTCGGTCTATCAGAATGAAAGGAGCTTTAGAGCTTAAAAGTAATGGAATTACATGTTCAACTCTAAAAAAGAAAGGGCATACCAAGCGTACTTGTGCATTGAAAAATAAAAATATGGTATGTAGTATGAACTTATTTTATAGTTCCATTTAAATTTCTTTATTTTTAAATATTATTTAATATTCATAATAATAATTTTCTTTAATCTCTTATTGTAGAATTTAATTGCAGATCGACAACAATTGTCAATTGGGACAAATGAAAAGAATTGATTTTGATCGATGAGAACAATGAAGACATAAGAAATGTGGTTCGTTTTATTTTTAACTAGTACTCCACCCGTGCATTGCACGGTATGAAAATAAATAAAGAAATTCATAAATAGTTATATATATATATATATATATATATATATATGCACACACACACATAGACAAGTATATAGTTACACATAATTGTACATATACGATTGCAAAAATATTAAATAAGTACTAATGTCACCAAAATAACATGCAATTTATAACAAAGATTTAATAATATGTAGTTGTTATAAATTATAAATTATTAAACACTTCTTTGTACACAACATTCATCGTTGAAGAAGCACACTTTTCATCTTCGTTGCGAATGAGTAACTTAAGCCCTCTTGGTGAACTGACTCTAGACAATGCAACATATAGCTGGCCATGTACAAAAACAGGTTTTCTCAGAAGTAGGCCAACAGTAGAAAGCGTTTGTCCTTGACTTTTATTTATTGTTATTGCATAGGACAGCATAAGCGGGAACTGCCTCCTTTAAAATTTGAAGGGCAATGTACTGTCAAATGGTGTTAGGGACAGACGCGGGATCAGAACTTTGGAGCCTGCTGCATTGCCAAATAAGAGCTTTGCTTCAACAACGTGGTCTGCTAATCTTGTAATAATTAACCGTGTACCATTACACAACCCAGCTGAAGGGTCAATATTTCGCAACAACATAGCAGGAGACCCAATCTTCAATGTTAAGCAATGATTTGGTAACCCAGAACATTTTAGCCCGTTCAATAACTCCGGAGTGTGTAACCCAGCCACAACATCAGAGGTACTCTCAGTGGGGCAGACCGAATCAGAACTAAAATAGGTCCTACACTCGGCAACATTCAAGTTGGTCATGTACGCATTAACTTCGTCTACAACTTCAAGAGTTGGGGCCAAAATTACTCGACTAATTAAATAATCAGCGTCATGTTGTTCTCGAAACATAGGAAATGTACTTTCCACAATTCCTTGGATTGGATCACCATTTGTATGCAACAAATTCTCATGTGAAAAAAACTAATATTAATGTTTAGTAGTATAAAAAATGTTATAATCAATAATTATATCATACAATAGATACTTTAATTAGGCATTTCGTGAATACAAATTTACCTGGATTTTGTAACTCTCGTCGCTGATTGAACTCTGCATCATCACACAGAAGTGGCCAAACAACATCCCAAAGTTTTTCAGGTTGGCATAAACAATTAGACGTTAACAAAGTCACGAATAAACGGTGAAGAGCTGAGGCAGTGGACCAATGACTTGCTTCAAGTATTGCATCAACATATTCCTTCTCATCACAAATCAAACCACGAGCATAACACGCATCACGGAAACATGAATATTGAATTCCATCAACATTGCGAATCTCTTCAAAAGATATTGGACCACGAACTAAATTCAATAAACACCTAAGATAGAAGATCTCACCAGTACCAGGTGGCACATAAAACATACGGCCTATAGCAAAACCACATCTTCTTGGTTGCCATTGACGTTATTTTCTTTTCCACACGAAACAATGAGGCATTTCTCTATTGGTCAATTCCCTAGCTCGGGGATACCTCTTATTAGCTTCAAACCATGCTAAAAACATACTCTTAATTGTTTGTCTTTCAAGCACATTCTCAATAGATAAGTCATCATAAAAAACAATGCTTTGTTCATTCGGCAGATGGAAGCTTAACCGTTCTACAGAGGGATTACGGAACTGGATGTCATAGCTGAACAAACGCCACACAGCTTCACACGGAGAAATATATCGGCAATCATAATACATATTAATCTCATCAATAACTTCGCTACTATCTTCATAAATAAATATATCTGAACACATTTTTTAAAAATTCCAAGAATTCATAGCCAAGAGGAATTTGGTTTATGGTTTCTTTAATTACTTAACTTTCACTGGTATGACTAATATGGACTTTGTATTATTTGTTTACAGTGATGTAGCCATTTGATTGGTCAATAATCCATAGCACTGGACTTCCAAATTGTGGATACTCACAGAACATTCAAACACAAACGGCCAACACTCTGTTCAAATGGTAATATTTTCCTTAATTGCTTTTAGTATTTAATATATATATATATATATATATATATATAGGGTTGCATTCACATGCAAACACCATTAAAATACAAACCTGTGGACAAATATAAGCCATTAGATTAGATGAGATTAATGGTTTGGATGTAATATGCAATAATTCACGCCAACCTAACATAGCATGTGAAAAGGGCAAATCAGACAAATTGATTAAATCCTAATTAAGGTTAAAACACAATTACACTACTCTGCCTAAATTAAAGGAGTTTAATTACAGTATAATTAGACATCCTCCTCCAAATAGAACACTCCCATCCCGGCACCAAAAACCAGCAAAACCCATACCACCGTGCAAAAGAAGAGACACCGGCCCAATTTGAAGGAGACGGCCATGGAGAACAGCCCGTGCACAGCATTCCCAGGTAAACCCCGAAATACGATTATTTATAGAGCAAAGCACACCGTGCTTACAATTTGAAAAATATGAGCATACGTGTATTCATGAGTAAGAAGCTAATTTGAAATATTTAGGGTTCCATTAACGTGCTTTGTCATTGAACGGTATGATCAAGGGCGAATTCATGAATTAGAAGATATTACTGTTTGAAATATATACGGTTGCATTACAGTGGTTATTTGTTGAAAGTATGAGCATAACTGTATTAGTGAATAGGAAGCTATTACTGTCTGAAATATATGAAAATTTAACGGGGAAACCCAGTGCAAATAGCAGTTACGGGAAACCCAGCATAAGCACACTAGATTAAAACTGAGAGCACATGAGAGTTGCAGAAAATGAAGAACTAAGCACACAGTTAAATAGTGACGTGCACATAAAAAAAAAACATGTGTACTTACAGTGCATATGTTGGGACATGTGAGCACACGAAAATGGAAAGCCGGGCACACAGGCGCACAGTAATAAACCAAGCATGCACATAACATAGACCCCAAATTGCACCACAATTACACAGTGAAGCACATCACTCATTACTCCACGAAAACTGAAATATATAATTGTTATGTTGAGCAGGTGACGCCCACCGTGCACAGCACGAAATGGAATGCGAAATGGAAATACATGACGATGGAACAAAATACTGGACACCACCAACAACAAAAGAAAAAACACCGTTCGAAGGACAGCGATTCAAAACAGTTGAAGACGGAATTCAATTCTACGAGGAGTATGCTAAGGTTGCCGGATTTGATGTTAGGCATGGATCAAAACGCAAGAATCGATTCGGGCAAGTGTCAATAAAATACATGCTGTGCTCACGCGAGGGTTACAAGGCTGAACGGAAGGAACCCAACAATAGCTCAACAGTAAAGCAGAGACGGCGGAGAGTGTCCAACAGGATAGGCTGTAAGGCACGCATGGTAATGACAAAGAGTGACAAAGGCGGATATAAAGTACATGCAATCCAACTAAGACATACCCATTGTTTATGCTCAGATGCGGCTAAACCTTTTTTAAAGATAAATAGGCAACTTGACATCGGCCACAAAACCTTTCTGGCTCACTGTGCAAAGGCAAATATCGGACCCACAAAAGCTTTCAGATTGTTCAAAGAGATGGTGGGGAGTTTTACAGATGTAGGAGCAACATGCATCGACTTTTGCAATTTTAGACGGGACCTATTGGCCTATATAGCTGAGGCCGACGCCCAAATGGTGATTGAAGACATGTTCAAAAGAAAAGAGGATAACCCGGACTTCTATTTCGATTTCGACATAGACGAAGAAGCACAATTAACAAGGTTATTCTGGGCGGACGCCGAATGTCGAAGGAATTATGCATATTGCGGCGATGTCATGTCATTCGACGCCACATACAGTACAAACAGGTGGACATCGTATTAGCTTTTAAATATTTTGACCGCCTACTGAGCATAAGACGTATAAATGGTGTGCGCGGTGAGCAGCAAAGAGGGGGTAAAGGGCGTGCTGAACATTGAAAATCACCGTGCGCACCAGCGTGCAGAATATTAGTAGGCAGTTTACTATAAGTATGGTTAAAACTAATTACAATCATGTTTACACTGCAGGTACAAGTTAGTGTTCGTCCCTTTCACAGGGGTTGATAACCACAAAAGGTGCATAACATTCGGGGCCGGGTTGATTGCGAAAGAAGATGTAGAGTCATATGAGTGGCTAGTCACGAAGTTCAAAACTGCAATGGAATACACACCAAGATGTACTACAACTGACTAAGATCCAGCACTAAAAATAGTAGTACCACACATTATGCCAACAACAAGGCATAGATTCTGTATGTGGCACATCATGTCAAAAGTTGGGGAGAAGGTGGGGGTTGCATTGTTGCACAACGCAGACTTCAAAAAGGAACTAAATAACACCGTATGGGATGACACATTAACGGTTGATGAATTTGAGCGAAGATGGGCAACACTAATGAGGAACTACAATCTTGAAGAACACCGGTGGTTTGCCCAACTGTACGATGCACGTGCATCATGGATACCTGCATACTTCAATGACTTACCGATGGGAGGTCTACTAAGGACCACATCACGGTCAGAATCAGAAAACAACTACTTCGGTAAATTTACAAACCACCATAGCAGTTTGGTAGAATTTATGGCACAATACAACAGTGCCATTGGAGAACAAAGGCATAGACAATCAAAACTCAACGCAGAAAATGAAGGTTCGTACCCTGAAACTAAAACCCCTCTGAGTATTGAAAAGCACGCTGCTATAGTTTACACCGTTAATATATTCTATGAATTCCAACAAGAGGTATGGGATGCCAGCTTCAACTGCCACATTACCGACAAGAATAACGTAGGTGACATATGGACTTACAAAGTTGAAGAAACTGGTGGAAGACTGTTTGAAGTAACAGAAATCCCAAGCACGAAGCTAATAGAGTGTGCATGCAAGAAATTCAATCGTGTCGGTCTACTCTGCAAGCATGTGCTACAAGTGATGAAGACAAAAGGGTATGAAAAAATCCCACAACAGTATATCATCCCACGATGGACACGAGACGCATGTGCACACCCAATATATGATGTCCCATGGGCAAAAAGAACACCCAAATCCAAGGCAAATGAAACAACACAAGTTGCAAATCAACTATGGAATGAATTCTACAACTGCATGGGATTAGTGAATGGTTGGCCAGAAAAGATGGACCAAATGTTGGCAACATTGCAACAACTCAAGAAGGGCCTAGAAAACGAAAGGCAACAAACACAAGGGGGTCTGAACAATGAATCCGTGTTTGAAAGACTAGTCGGATCAAGCAAACCGAGCGACATACAAATAAAACCCCCCCAAGTTGCAAAGAACAAAGGGAGTGGGAAGAGACTCAAAAGCAACCGAGAAAAAGCCGCCACGAACAACCAAAAGAGAAAGGAAAGAACATGCAACATATGCGATCTCCCAGGGCACAACAGCCGCACCTGTCCAGCTAAACTTGCATAAGACAAAGATTGTAGTAGTTGAATACAACAACAGATGAAATAATATAATTATGTTTACATTTACGAACCATGTTTACATACTTCTATGAAACAAACATTTTTATGGCCTGCATACGCACATAAAAATACCCAACAGCCAACGAACAACGCATGGGGGGCAAATAACTATTTTCTGGGTAAAAAAATAAAAAGTAAAAAAAAAAACGAACACAAAAGCAGCATGACGCGCACAGTAACGAACACTCAACGAACGAATGCGCGCACAGCGGGAACCTTATATGCGCACAACCATCCATTAGTCATAAAACCCCGCCCCCGGGGAGCACACTTCAAAACTATGACGCGCACAGTAACAAAGATGAATTGAGTAACGCGAGTCGGCAACACACACATAGGATACTATGAAGACGCACAAAGATCCAACAGCGACCACATACGAAGGTAACCGACACACTAACAAAGCACACTGTGCCCACTAACAGAAATGAATTAATTAATGCGACATAAGGATGAACACACGGAGCAAAATATAAGTACACAGAACAGTGACCAAGCACACACGACTGTGAAAATGCGCGTAAAATTAATATAATAAATATACGCACCACGTCAGAAATTAAAAAACAACGAAACTAAACCACGAGTTAAGCGCAATATACAAAAAATGTGCGGCCAGCACAAGTAGCAAAAATAAACCACCGTAAGCGCAGAACACAAAAACAGTGTGCGCATTACATGCACCACCAAAAAACACACCATAAGAGAAGTAAAAAAACGGCACTAAGTGGAAGGGGGATGAACTGAGATCGACTGGTAAGCGCGAGCGAGGTTGTCTTCCCTCATCACATTAAACCGCGAAGTGACCAACTCATTCATGTACCGCAACCGTAACTTATGCAACACCGTACTGTCTCCCTTAACTAAGCCACAATCCCACTCCCGAACCCGCTGACCAACAAATGTCCCCATGTGCCGCATTAAGAAAATACAGCGGGAACCTTATATGCGCACAACCATCCATTAGTCATAAAACCCCGCCCCCGGGGAGCACACTTCAAAACTATGACGCGCACAGTAACAAAGATGAATTGAGTAACGCGAGTCGGCAACACACACATAGGATACTATGAAGACGCACAAAGATCCAACAGCGACCACATACGAAGGTAACCGACACACTAACAAAGCACACTGTGCCCACTAACAGAAATGAATTAATTAATGCGACATAAGGATGAACACACGGAGCAAAATATAAGTACACAGAACAGTGACCAAGCACACACGACTGTGAAAATGCGCGTAAAATTAATATAATAAATATACGCACCACGTCAGAAATTAAAAAACAACGAAACTAAACCACGAGTTAAGCGCAATATACAAAAAATGTGCGGCCAGCACAAGTAGCAAAAATAAACCACCGTAAGCGCAGAACACAAAAACAGTGTGCGCATTACATGCACCACCAAAAAACACACCATAAGAGAAGTAAAAAAACGGCACTAAGTGGAAGGGGGATGAACTGAGATCGACTGGTAAGCGCGAGCGAGGTTGTCTTCCCTCATCACATTAAACCGCGAAGTGACCAACTCATTCATGTACCGCAACCGTAACTTATGCAACACCGTACTGTCTCCCTTAACTAAGCCACAATCCCACTCCCGAACCCGCTGACCAACAAATGTCCCCATGTGCCGCATTAAGAAAATACAGCGGGAACCTTATATGCGCACAACCATCCATTAGTCATAAAACCCCGCCCCCGGGGAGCACACTTCAAAACTATGACGCGCACAGTAACAAAGATGAATTGAGTAACGCGAGTCGGCAACACACACATAGGATACTATGAAGACGCACAAAGATCCAACAGCGACCACATACGAAGGTAACCGACACACTAACAAAGCACACTGTGCCCACTAACAGAAATGAATTAATTAATGCGACATAAGGATGAACACACGGAGCAAAATATAAGTACACAGAACAGTGACCAAGCACACACGACTGTGAAAATGCGCGTAAAATTAATATAATAAATATACGCACCACGTCAGAAATTAAAAAACAACGAAACTAAACCACGAGTTAAGCGCAATATACAAAAAATGTGCGGCCAGCACAAGTAGCAAAAATAAACCACCGTAAGCGCAGAACACAAAAACAGTGTGCGCATTACATGCACCACCAAAAAACACACCATAAGAGAAGTAAAAAAACGGCACTAAGTGGAAGGGGGATGAACTGAGATCGACTGGTAAGCGCGAGCGAGGTTGTCTTCCCTCATCACATTAAACCGCGAAGTGACCAACTCATTCATGTACCGCAACCGTAACTTATGCAACACCGTACTGTCTCCCTTAACTAAGCCACAATCCCACTCCCGAACCCGCTGACCAACAAATGTCCCCATGTGCCGCATTAAGAAAATACCAGAATCAATCTTATTCTGCGAATCACGCCATCCCATCTGCAACCGCTTGGATTCAACACCAGCACAAACAGTAGCCCTTGAAGGAGAAATGTCTTCAAAAAACTCAAATAGGATTGCCTTCTGGAATTGGGAGAAACAAAACATAAATCAGAAAAAAATGCAAACTATAGCAACTGATACAAGCCCAAAAGGATACAAAAAATATTAACAAGATAAACAAAATCATTTGGAAGTAATACAAAGAGCACTAACCAACACATCAACACAAGGACCATACTTGTCTGCCTTCGCACCGGGATGAGAGTCATTATCAATAATCTCATACCGCCCACGGACAAAATCAAAGCACAATAGGAAATAATGACCACGGCGTAGAATCGGGAAAAAAATCTGCACACAACAATGGCATTAAATATCAAGTGAAATTACTGTGCAGGAACATAGAATCCCCGCAAAATATGAGAAGATGAAAGCATCAAAAAACCACCAAACTCAACAACACCAATCATACCATATCGATCTCCGTAATATTATCATACGGTGATAAACGAAGATCCATCAGCAACCTCTCACGAAACCACACAACCCTCCGATCCCATAGACGGGACGTATCAACAACAGTAATGAGCTAACAAAAACGACCAACCAAGCACAACAGAAAACCTGTCAATAGTAAACCAAAAAACCCACAAAATATAAATTGAAATGCAATATATGGAACTACAACTAACCGTGGTCGCCGTAGACACAAAAAGGCGTGACGGGGCCGACCGAGGCTTAGTAGCCTCCAAACAATTAAGCACCGCAGCCCAAGCATCTATAACTGCACAATCAACCTGTGACCCTGGAGTAAGCGATAACAAATTCTCCCAAGTCGCAGACCTAACACCGACTGAAAATATAGTACGCCCCCTACAGCAACAAATACACCAAACAATCACGAAAAAATACAAACTACGCGACTCACCGAACACAAAGAAACGAACACACAAAACTAACATGTCAGCAGTCGAACCCCCAAGCAACCAATTCACAATTAACGCCTCTTCTGGAACATCAGGAACAGGAAACGTAACAGACTCACTAACGCTGAACGACTGGTACTGCAGGCGAGAGGCAACGACCGGAATATGAGAAGCAGGAGACTTACTAGGACGAACAGGTTTAACCGGAGCCGCACACCCCGGCCCCCCAGAAACCGTCGGGCCAGTCAAACCACTACCACCAACACACACCTGCGCAACAAACAACCGTAACATGTACTACCCTGACCAAACACATAAAATGCAAGAACAAAATAACGAAACAAACCTCCGTGGGCGTTATAAACTCCGGACCGTCAGAGGTAGGGTCAGTAGCCAATTCAGTGCCCCCACCATGAACATCAGCCCCCCCACCATTATCAACACACACAGGCCCAGCACACACAGTACCTTGACCCCCACCATGAGAAGCGGGACCCATCACATCTCCAATACCCTACCCCAACAGACACAACCAAAGATATTACAACCAATAGCATAGAAAAAATGTAAACAAAAAAAAAAACCACCACACATAAACCAACATATAGACCACACTGACAAGCACACCAACATGCATACACCAGCACACCAGCATGCATACTCCAACACACAACGATGAAAAGCCAAAAACACAAAAGAGCAACTCATCCAACTGCAGTTGACAAAAAAAAAAGAAAAAAAAAAAAAAAAAAAAAAAAAAAAAAAAAAAACCAACAAACCTGCCCCGAGGCCCCCAAACCAGCTGGTTCCTCGCACACATTCGCACCCTCCTACAAGGAAACACACACCCAACTTATATAAACCCCACACCAGATTACAAACCAAACATCAAAGCCAAAAATCAAACACATACAACACAAAGCACAAAAAACCTTACCGAAGGAATAATATTAATCGGCCCAGAATCATCACCGCCAAACTCCGCCGCATTTTCGTTAACCGCCCCAACAACCGCATCAACACCTCCACCCTCGAGACCCGCCGCAGCAAAATCTTGAGTTAAGCCAAGACTAAACGAAGGCATATCATTGAGACCACCACCCTCAGAAATGTCACGAAAATCCACATCCAACGCACGCAACCGGGCCTGAATAGGAGCAAAAAACCGGCGACAAACCTCCCCCTCCACCACCCTACCACGTGCCATCTTGAACAACTGATCCAAGCTAGCAACGGAACTTGCAACAACAGCAGCAGCCTCCCCAACAACACATTCAAACGTCTAGAGTGAACACAAAAAGAACACATACATTAGCATACAAACCTTCATCAGACTAATCCAATTCTGTAAGCACAACCAAGACCAACAGTGCGCACATAAAGTAATGAACTAAAATAAATTTAAAACAAAAAAGAGTGCAAGACAAACAACTGCGCAATCCAACCTTAGGGCCATACTCGGGGCCATCCCCGTCCACATTCAACCCCACAACAGCAGGCTCGATCTCACCACGACCAAACCCACCAGCAGCCATCTCCGCAGACTCCCTCGCAAAAAGCAACTCCGATGTCCATCCGCGAAATGAAGGCACGAGC